GGCCACCCTGGTGGTGCTGGCCGGTGCTGAGTGTGGTCCTGTGGGCGCAGGTGCACCTGGTGGACCAGCACACCGAGAAGGAGTTCCACGTGCTGCAGGACAGCTTCAAGGTGGCATCCATCAGTGGGGACACCAGCCACAAAACCTTCTTCGCCGACGTGGTGAAGAAGAGCGACGTTGTCATCTGCACAGCGCAGATCCTGCAGAACGCCCTGGTGAGCACGGAGGAGGACGCGCACGTGGAGCTGACAGGTGGGCACCAAGCTACAAATACTGCTGGCCCCACAGCCATGGCTGAGCCCCAGCCATCTCACCTTGCTCCCCTCCCTGGCCTGGAGCAGATTTCTCGCTGCTGGTGATAGACGAGTGCCACCACACGCACAAGGACGCCGTCTACAACAAGATCATGCTGAGATACCTCCAGCACAAGCTCCGTGGGGAGCAGGACCTGCCACAGGTCCTGGGGCTGACGGCATCCCCTGGCACTGGGGGGGCAACATCCTTTGAGGGGGCTGTAGAGCACATCCTGCAGGTGCGTCCTGTGCCCCCTGTGCTGTTTCAGCACGGCTTCCCCTGGGGTTCAGCAGGGTGCTCCTTGCCATGGGGGTTGATGCCCAGGTGTATGGGTGGAGTCATCCCCAAACTCAGCAGGTGAGCACCTGGGCAGCTCTGGGCTCAGGGTGGAAGCAGGGTCTTTCCCTCTCAGATCTGTGCCAACCTGGACACTGAGAAGATCACGTCGGTGCAGGATGAGTTACAGCACCTGCAGAGCCACGTCCCCCAACCCAAGAAGCAGTATGACCTGTGCCAGGAGAGACCACAGGTGAGGGATGGCTGCTCAGAGCCATGGGGCTGCTCACTGAGTGGAAGTTGAGACCTCCCCAAGCCCTGCTGTGTGAGGCACCTTCATCTGCTTCGCTCAGTGTGAAAAATCAGTTGACCCAGAGCTTTGGTGCTGGGGGATCCCACAACAGTCTGGGCCATGCAAGCAGCCACAATTCCCAGGTCCTGAGCCCCTCTCTGCTGCCAGGACCCCTTTGGTGAGCAGCTGAAGAAGATGATGGTGCAGATCCAGCAGTTCATGGAGAGGCCGGATTTCTCACAGGACTTTGGCACGCAGATTTACGAGCAGCACATTGTGAAGCTGGAGAAGAGAGGTGAGGCTGTGGCAGGGAGGGTGTGGCAGGGCAGAACCATGGGGACAGGCTGTGACTGCCCTGTCCCCTGCCCTGGCAGCTGCAGAGATGTTTTGTCGCAAGACGCGCGTGTGCGCCGTGCACCTGCGCAAGTACAACGACGCTCTGCTCATCAACGACACCGTGAGGATGGTGGACGCCTTCCAGTGCCTCCAGCAGTTCTACAGCTCTGAGAGGGACAAGAAGGACCCCACCGAGCAGTTCCTCACCACCACGTTTGAGGGTAACAGGGGAGTCTGGATGGGGGTGATGCTGGCTGCATTTGGGGTGTCCCTGACACTCCTGTCACCTGTGCAGAGAACAGGGCGAGACTGCAGGAGCTTGCTGGGGATCACCGCTATGAGAACCCCAGGCTGGCCAAGCTGGAGGGGATCCTGCGTGAGCACTTCCAGCCCCTGGGCACTTCTCGTGGCATTGTGTTCACCAGGACAAGGCAGAGTGCCCACAGCCTGCTGAGCTGGCTGCAGAGCACGGCCACGCTCCGTGGGCAGCACATCAGGGCCGCCGTCCTCACTGGCGCTGGCTACAGCAACCAGACCAGGCACATGACACAGGTGAGTGCAGGGAGGGTGGGCAGGAGCACCACCCACCCCACTTTGCACATTTTGGGGGTCTCAGAGCCCTACACAGCTGCTGAGGCATCACCCTTCTGTCTCCCCAGAATGAGCAGCAGGATGTGATCAAGCAGTTCCGTCAGGGAGCCCTCAACCTGCTCTTCTCCACCAGTGTGGCCGAGGAGGGCCTGGACATCCCCGAGTGCAACATCGTGGTCCGCTATGGGCTGATGACCAACGAGATTGCCATGGTGCAGGTACTGCCCAGGCTCCCTCTGGCCCTGCCAGGATCCCCCAAAGCTGCAGGGGTGGGACACGGGCGCGCATGCAGACAACTCCTTGGGGATGAGCCCATCTCCATGGCAAGGCACAGCGGAGGGTGGAGGTGGCTCCATCCTCACAGGGTAGCACAGAAGGGTTGGCTGTGTCCTTTATCTGTTGACTGCAACATTTGGACCTTGCCCTGCAGGCCCGGGGCCGTGCCCGTGCTGAGAACAGCGTCTACTCTGTCCTTGCCAAAGCCAACACCAGAGAGGTGACCCGAGAGCTGCTCAACGAGGACCTGGTGGAGCTCATGAAGAGGGCGATCCAGGCAGTGCAAGCCATGCCTGAGCAGGAGTACTTCCAAAAGGTGGGTGCTGGGTGCTGCTGTGGGTCTGGCAGGGCCAGGCAGCTCTTGCTACCTGCTCTGTCTCAGGGAAACACCAGATCCTGGGATGGAGTTGTGTGAGGCACACCAGTGGGTGCCCATCCTGCCTTGCCCTCCTGCTCTGTGCTGATGATGCCTCCCTCAGTATCCATGGATTCTGCCATCTGTCCTGTGCTACCCCTGTCCCCCACTGTGGGAATCCACAAAATCAGAGGGTTTTGGAAAAGCTGCAAAAGGCAGGCCTCAGAGGCAGCAGAACTGTGTTAGAGCTAAGCAGCAGCCATGAGCTAGGTCAGCAGAAAAGTTATTTAGAAAGTAGAAAAGCAAAGACAAATAGAACTATGATCTGTGTATTAATGCTTGTCTAGAATAACTCTCTAAGCTACAGAAAAGTTTACCTAGCAAGATATTAAGAAGTTTGAAGCTTAATATTGGAGCTCTGTGTAAAGCTTACAAGTATTGTATTCGAAATAAGCAAGCATTCTTTTAACCAAAAGTATGTGTGCTTATAGTGGTTGGATAGAACTACTGTCAATGTGCTTTTGCTTTGTGTGATTGGTCAAAAAACTTATGAAGTGAGTTGTAGCATTAAGTTCTTTGTCTGCTGCCTGGGATGTGAGCTGGTGGCATCTTCCCATTATTATAACAATGTAATGAGACTGATGCTGGAAAATAAAACAGCTCAAAACAAAACAAAAAACCCCCAGCTGGTGAGCTCTGTCCCCCCCAGATCCAGGAGCTGCAGAGGGTGGCTGTGGCCAGCTGGCTGCTGAAGGAGGCCAGGATCAGCGAGCGGAGGCAGCTGCACCAGGCGTCTGCTGTTTGCCTGTACTGCATCAACTGCAGCAGGGCCGTGTGCCGGGGCAGCGACATCCGCACCGTGGAGGGCATGCACCACGTCAATGTCAACCCCAAATTCGGGTAGGGGGCTCGTGGGCAGGCACAGGGGTGAGGGGAGTTATTGGAATAATACCAATATAGCCATCAGGATGTGCCTGAGCTTGTCTGGCCCTGTAGCTGAACCAAACAGCGGCACTGTGATGTTTCACCCCAGAGACACTTTTGGCTAAGCTGGGTGTGTGGTGTTTCACCCCAACCCTGGTGGCCCCTTCCTTCCAGGTCATATTACAGAGTTTCCTCTGGGAAAATACAGTTCCAGAGAGCTTTCAAGGACTGGGAGCCCGGCTGCCGCATTTCCTGCAAAGACTGCAGCCAGGTGAGCACCACAATTCCCCGTGTCTGCAGCCCAGGCAGAGCTGGAGGGACAGGAGGGGCTGTGCCTTGTGAGCTGTGCCATATGTGGGCTGTGGGACACAGAGGTGACTGTCCCCTCGCTGTGGCCCTGCAGCCTGGGGACGCCGTGTGTGCCTCGGGTGACTGTCCCCTCCCTGCCCACACAGGACTGGGGCATGGAGATGCTGTACCGCCAGGTGAAGCTGCCTGTCCTCTGCATCAAAAACTTTGTGGTGGAGACGCCAGCAGAGAAGAGGAGGTACAAGAAGTGGGGGGCTGTGACGTTCCCCATCGAGGCCTTTGACTATGTGGAGTATTGCTCTGGCACCTACAACCTGTCCTTGTAGCACAGGCTCTGTTCAGAAGAGGACCATTCACAGGGTGCTTTCAAGGTGCTACATGGAAAGGAGAGGCTTCCTCAACCCTTGGACAGAGAGCCATGGCTTATTCCTGTTTTCCTTCCTGGTCTGAGCCCCAGCAGCATGTCCCAAGCTGGAGCCCATGGCTGCTGAAGGAGCTTTGCAGCACCCATGAAGAAAGGATGAGATGCTGGGATTGAAAGCTACCCAAAGCTTGCTCCCCATGCTGCCTTCTCCTCCACAACCCTGCCAGGAGAACCATCATTTCTGTGGGTCCAGGACACTCTGATTTATGAACTTAATGGCTCAAAAATTAAAACACACATGCTAGACTGAAGAGGAGGGGTGGCTGCATCACTCATGGCAAGAGCTGGGTGGGTACAGGAGGCTTTGAGGGGGGAAAATTGCCCCAGAGGCAGAACCCTCTGTACCCTGTGCCAGCAGAACAGCCGTCTCCAGGGGACAGAGCAGCCTGTGAGGCTGCCCCAGCCCTACCCCAGCCACAGACAGTGCCCTGAGTGACCTCTGTCACCCACCCACCCAAAACCAACCCTTCCTGAGGTGCAGAACGAGCCTGAGCCGCTCTGGGACAGCCCCAGGGGGCTCTGGATGTCCCCTTGGTCTCACCTGGAAGCGCCCTGGGAAGTGTCCGAGTTGCGGGGGAGCCGGGACTGGGATTGGGTGTAGGAACGGGCCGGGTTTGGGGCAGGGGATTGGGTACTGGGGGATCCATTCAGTACTGGGAGATGTGGTACCAGGGGGATTTGGTACCGAGGGATTCATTTGGCACCAGGGGATTCAGTACTGAGGGATTTGGTACCGGGGGATTCATTCGGTACCGAGGGATTCATTTGGTACCAAGGGATTCGTTTGGTACCGAGGGATTCATTTGGCACCAGGGGATTCAGTACTGAGGGATTTGGTACCGAGGGATTTATTCGGTGCTGGGGGATTCATTTGGTACCAAGGGATTCGTTTGGTACCGAGGGATTCATTTGGCACCAGGGGATTCAGTACTGAGGGATTTGGTACCGGGGGATTCATTCGGTACCGAGGGATTCATTTGGTACCAAGGGATTAATTCAGTTTCGGGGGATTCGGTACCGGGGGATTCATTCGGTACCGGGGGATTCGGTACCGAGCCCCGGACCGGCCGTGCTGTCCCGCTGCCGGCCGCTAGAGGGAGCCCCGCACCGGGCTGGGGGATGCCCGGGAACCGGGAAAGGATCCGGGGGAACCGGGGGATGCTCGGGGAACCGGGAAACGATCCGGGGGAACCGGGGGATGTTCGGGGAACCGGGGGATGTTGAGGGGACTAGAGGATGCCCAGGGAACCGGGCAATGTTGGGGGAACCGGGAAATAATCTGGGCGGTGCTTGGGGAACTGGGAGATGATCCGGGGGGACCGGGGGATGCCCAGGGAACCGAGGGATGTTCAGGGAACCGGGGGATGTTCGGGATACCGGGAGGTGATCCGGGGGATGTTGGGGGAACCGGGAAACGATCCGGCAAGTACCAGGGGATGCCCGGGGAAGCAGCGGATGTTCGGAGAACTGGGGGATGATCCGGCGGGGCCCGGGGATGCTCCAGCGAGTACAGGGGGCTGCACCTGCAGTTCCACGCGTGTCCCTTCCCCGCGGGACCCTGCCACTCGTGTTGCTGCTGGCTCAGGGACCCCCCTGTGGATGCTTGGCAGGTCGGGGGAGCTGCAGGAGGACAAGGACATGAGAGGGCACCAGAGGCTCCCGCGGTGCCAGGCACACATAGCCCGCTCCCAGGTGGACATGGCCCCGGGGAAAGCCAGCTCCTGTGCACCAGAAACTGGGTAATGAGGCCATTGGAGTTATTTGTAGCTCCTCTGGGCTGGGATGGCCTCTCCTCCCGCTCCCCAGGCAGGATCCCTCCCGCAGGGACCCCAGAGCGTTTTGCTCAGCTCAAATTGCCCTGATTTGTGCTTGGAGAATTCAGGTTGTGAGTTAGCCCAGTGGGTGCCCACAGCACTGGGTGGTGCAACCTCTCACCAATCCTGGCAGAGCTGTCTGTCCTTTTGGGACAGCCCCAAACCAGAATTTCTGTAACAAAACTTGCCCCTTTTTGATGTGATGGAATATGAGACCAGGACAGCACTGTGAGTCTCTGTGGGTTTTGCAGGTGGGTTTGTATTCATCCTCTGCTTATTCTTCCCTCTGCATCCCTGCTTTAACATCATCTGCATTTGATTTCTCCTTCCCAGGGGCTCGGTCACCTTGGGCCTGGCGGCAGGGAGCAGCTGAGCTGCAGTGATCACTGCTGTGACCTTGCTCTGCGTCCTCCCGAGCCAGCATCCTCCTGAGCCAGCATCCTTCAGGACTGGCATCCTTCAGGACTGGCATCCTCCAGAGCCCGTGGTCCAATCCCAGGCTGGGAGAAGTCTGTGGCTCAGAGCACCTTTGCTTATCTCAGCTCCAGTGATGTCCCAGCCACCACTGTAAGCAGAGATGGGCACCACAGCAAACAAAAAATTCTGCTGGCACAAACACCCTGAAGGGCACCAGGATGGGCACAGCCCCAGCAGCTCCTGTGCCCTCCTGCCCCAGCACCCCTCGTTCCCCTGGGTGTGCTCACAGAGTCAGGGCAAAGCAGCAATTTATTTTCCACAGCTCATTTCATTTGTCAGCAGGGCTCTGTCAGAAAGCTCCGATTCCCCTCTCGAGGCACCAGCTGGAAAACCTCTGGCTCCTCCACCTGGCAGAGCCTCGGGTCAGCCCCAGGGTGGAGTTTGGTGGGATTTAGTGCTCAGCCTGTTATCAGGAGGGAGCCTGAGATGTGACTTGATTCCAAGGGTCTTCCTGGGGAGAAAACTGCTGGGTATCAAAGGGCTCTGTGCCTTGGCACACAGAGAGGAATGATGAGAACTAGGGCTGAAAGATAAAGTCAGGCAAATTGAAATGTGAAATCCAGGCCAGGTCTGCAGCAAGGAGGGCACAGAGCAGCCAAAGCAGGACCCCAGGCACCTTTATCAAAGAGATAAATAAAGGTGGGGGTCCTGCCCTGAGGGGGGCTCCATCCTGCTTCGTGTTCCTGGCCCAGGCAGCAGCAGGAGTCCTGTGGTACCCTGGGTGAGGGGCATGGGGAGTGAATTTTGCTTCCCAGGCATATCTGAAAATCTGGATAATGCAAAATATCTCCTGAAGAGCCTGGGAGAACATCAGACCCTGAGATGGCCTTTCCTGGGACAGCTGGAGCTTTCCTCTCTGTACCAGGGGAAATTCCAGTCTTCAGAAATGTGGCATTTTTCGGGGTCCCCAGATGGAGGAGGAATTGAGAATCT